TCGCCGGGCATGCCGTAGGCGCGTTGGTGATCACCTGGAGTGTCCTGGGGTCGTACCCGATGGCGCAGAGGAAGGCCACGTAGTCCTGGGTCGCTATGTCGTACACCAGGCCGGGGTCCATCGCCCGGTCCAGGTTGAGGTGCCCCGCTCCGATGTCGAACGGGGTCGCTGGCTTCCCGGTCGACTCGTCCGTCATTGACTTCCGGCGATTGTCGTCGAGGCGCCCCGTGGTCATCATCGCCGATCTGATCGCCGCCGGGCTCCAGTCCGGGTGAGCCGACTTCAGCAGCGCCGCCGCGCCGCTCACGTGCGGGCACGCCATCGACGTACCTGACAGGATGTTGAACTCCGTCCTCCGGCTGTCGGAGTCGAGCCCGGTCGGCCCGGCTGCGCCGGTCCAGGCCGCGAGGATGTTGACCCCGGGCGCGATCAGGTCCGGCTTGAGGATAGATGGAGTGAGCCCGTTGGGGCCACGGCCGGAGAAGGAAGCCACGACCGGCGCCGGCTTGACGCCAAGAACGGTGCCCCTGAACTGGATGGTGGCAGTGGGGACAGCGGCGGAAGCGACATATGCCTTGATGACGTCGCCCTCGGAGTAGCCAACGGCACATGCCGGGAGGACGTGGGCGTCGCCAACGAGGCCCTCCCCGTTGGATAAGCCATTGGCCAGGATCATTCCAACCCCGCCGGCGTCCTTCACGACGTGGCCCTTGGCCACGCGAGGGCTGCTGCCGCGGTCGCAGATCACGATTTTGCCCCCGACCATTTTGGGGTCCAGGGAGTTGTCCATGCAGAGGGAGGCGGAGAGGCCGCCGGACTTGCCCGGGTAGACCAGCGGGTACTTGGAGCCGGTGAGAGGCTTCCCCGAGTAGAGGGAGACGCCGGACAGGCGCCGCCCGTCGCCAAGGATGACGTCGGCAGGGAAGGTGCGGTCGATGGTGCCTGCGCCGACGGTGGTGAGCCAGGGGGCGACGTTGGTGACAGACATGGAGGTGGGCCCGTCGTTGCCAGCAGAGGACGCGACGAAGACGCCCCGGGAGACGGCGCCGAATGAGCCGATGGCGATGGGATCGAGGTAGTAGGGCGAGGCAATGCCGTCGCCACCACCAATGGAGACCGAGATGACGTCCACACCATCGGCGACGGCGCGGTCGAATCCGGCGAGGATGTCGGAGTCGAGGCAACCAGAACCCTTCCAGCAGACTTTGTATGTGGCCACCCTGGCCTTGGGGGCAACGCCCTTGGCGATTCCCGCGGCATAGCCGGCCATGCTGGCCCGGAACGCATGGCGGCCAGCGGCGGTAGAGGCAGTGTGCGTGCCGTGACCGTCGGCGTCGCGCGGGGAGCGCGACTCCACCGTCTGGTTGATGCCGCCACCGCCGCCGACAAAGGAGGCGTCATGGCCCTTGGAGAAGAACCGGGCTCCAACAAGCTTACGGTTGCAGAGGGACACGGGAAAGCCGGGGCCGGTCTCACAGGCGCCACGCCATCGGGAGGGGACAGGGCCAAGGTTGCGGTCGGAGAAGCTGCGGTGCTCGGGCCAGACGCCGGTATCCAGCACGCCAACGACGACGTCGGAGCCGTAGTCGGAGTCGGACCAGAGGCCGTCCTGATTGCGTAGGCCGAGGAACTGGGGGGAGCGTGTGGTGTCGAGGCGACGGAGGCGGTCCTCGAAGACGGCTAGGACACTAGGGTGGGCGGAGAGGACGGCGGCGTGGGCCGGGACGAGGGAGGCAGAGAAGCCGTGAAAGACGGTGTCGTAGACGTGGAGGAGGGGAAGGGGGGTAGCGCCGCCGCCGCCGGAGAAGGCGGCGGAGGCGTACCACTGGGCATGAGTGGGAAACACCGACGGCTTTGCCCGGTGGTCGACACGGAAAACAAAAGTCTTCTTCTTCGCACCGCCGGTAGCGGATAAATCCGCCTCCGCCGCGGCTATCAGGGTAACGATTAGGATGAGGAGGCGATGAGGGCAGGGGAACGCCATCAGTGGAAGTGTGTGTGGACTGAAGAGTGAGTGAGTGAGTGTAACGTATACACTGCAATAACAAGTTGGGAAAGGGGGGCGGTGGAAATGAAGGGAGAGGGACACAGCTACTGGCATCTGCCAAGATTACGAAGAAAGTACTTTTCTTTAATGCTTTGGTTATTTATCAGTGTCGGTTCCCCATCTGCCTTAAGATCAGGGGGATATTTTTTTGTTTTTGTTTTTTGTTTCTGAGGTATGAGACAGACATACGAGGATATTTTCTTGTTTTTGTTTCTGTTTCCATGAGGCGTGAGTCGAACAGCCGTTGACTCTGGTCCAAGGAAGACTGACACTCAAGAATTATATAATGCTGTGGCTTTATGGACCGTTGGGGTTTCTTGTCGATCGGTTCAATCCAAGACTCAGGCGTGTGTTTTATACACATACGGAATTATATATATATATATA